CATCATAACAAGCATAGAGATATATATTACATTTTTCCTTCTTAACGATCCCACTTTATTTATCATATGACAAAAAATTCTTTCAGCGTTTAAGAATTTGACGAATATTGATTTTATCTGTGCATTTATATTAGGCGACTGAATGTGAAATTGATCAGTCATGCATATTTTGTGTTTTACGAGATATTATGTTCCGAATGACTTAAACACGTAAATAATATTAATCTTATTTATTAACTTTATCTTTATCTGCTTTATGTCTCCATTTGTTTTTAAATTTACATTACGTTAAAAAATATAACAGAGAAGATCTTTCAATTTTAAGCTGCTCCCCTGATGCTGCTGGTGTAATCGAGAAACTTGGAATGCTCACGCTTTAATACAATAACACTGTAATGCGTGCATTACAATGCGTGACGTTACAGTGTCCTAACTCGGCTTAACTCAAATTCAAAGTTTGACAAAGCAAAAAGTTTCGCACGACAGAAAAAATAAAGTTCGCGAACGTCGCACAGCAGATTTTAATGTCGCATACTTCCTGGGAAAATGATAACTGACACACTTTGGCACCTCTTGCGGAAACGCTTCGTTAGCGAGGCATTACTTAACCACGAATTTAAGAAACAATATTTGGCGTCTCTTTAAATATTTGCCGGCCATTGTAGATCTTCCGAGAACTCATCACACGTTAAATATCAATATATCTTAGACTTGCAAGATTCAAATTCTTCTAGTCATTCAAATCACGTAACTTCCTGCGGGTAAAATATAGTAGTGCACCGACTAAATCCTAAATCCCCGTAAGTTTGTCATTCAAAATCAATCATCTCACGACATACTGCCGTGAATAGAGAAAAAAAATATATTTTACCATGTCACACTCTTCTTGCATGTATAAAATAATGGGTACAGTACGATCTGGAATAAGTCAAACAACCATACGACTAAAACGAATCAACATCGGTAAAACGGACTATTCAACGTTTAAATGTATTCAACGTTTGCTCTTGAGAATATATCGTAAATAGCTGTAAGATACGTCGCAACTCAAACGACATAAGCAAATCAAACACGTCATAAAGATGTCCAATAGACGTAGTAATTTTCGAGACATTGTTTATTGCTTCGCAAGAAGTTTTTAATTTTATACGAATATCAATGATACAAAGCTTGTTAGCTTTTTGGTTTAAAATTATTTTGGTTTGAAATATTTTCAGAAATATAAAATGGCAATCTAAATTGAAAAAAAAATTGATTATTAAAGGACGACAGCCCGATGGCCATCTTCTTTAGGGCAAAACTGGAAAAAATTCTAGCGCAACAGTTATTGGAATTGTGTAAACTTGCCTTCCTTGCACAATTGATATTGTCATCGCAAAGCTGCTAATTCTAATAAGTGAAATTGCTTTCAACGTGTTTGTTCTTGCGATAACCAGTCTACAGTTAACGCCTGCTTGAAAAGAAGGGAAAAGTTGTTCAATAGAGAGTGGTTGCACTTCCTTTCTCCTGCATCGGTCAGAGATAGGATTGTACCTATCGTAATTATTGACGTTCCCAACTAAGATAAGCGCATATTAGTCTCTGCAGAACTTAATTCATCCTGAAATATACGATAATTAATGTCTCGCTATATCCTAGCATCGATATCCCGCGAACGTTAGTTATACACGGGTTTCTTCTTCTTAAGAGCCGCGTATGCGTGTTGTCCAATCAGATTTCGATAGTTCCATATAAATCTTCGCAAATTTGCCGAAATAATAATAGAGATTAATGAAATTCCTCAAAATACGTCGTTTCTGTTCTTTAAATTCGAGAAAGTGCACAATTTCTAGGACAGCATAGATTGGCATCGTACAAAAAGTGAAATGTTATACACATGTAGCGGTATATAGTCACATCGTGTAGTATGTATCGTTCGAGGTAGAAGAGAGATAATATCGATGATCGGTTTCACTGCCGCCTTTTTATACATATATTTATATTATACTTGAAGCTATTAAGTTTCGCTTTCTACGTAAACTGCAACAAGTACCGTAACGTGCGGATTATCCGCGTGGCATCGTCGGAATTTTCAACTATAATTATTGACATTTATATCCGGAAAACGGATCTACATCCACAATATCAACGCGTATAATAGACAATCAGGTGAAGAAACGCTGTACAATTGTTGCCCTAAAGACAAAGTGAAAGCGAGACTTTTATTAAAAGCATTTACATTCCCCTTTTCGCAGCATTTCCGTTAATCGAAACGAAGAGAATGATCTCCCAACGACAATAATGCTCAAATTTCAAAATCGATTTATATATTTTTTATCTTTTATTATACTTAAATTCTCTCGCGCTCGCACAAGTCAGACAACAGTGGCGAATTAATGGATAAAAAAAATAGAAAGTAATAAAAATATCAACTGTATGTTAAATAATGAAAAACTGATTAATAAATTATATTATATATTTCTTTATATTCCGTCACATTGCAATTTCATGCCGTTTTGGCTATACGCGCTGTATAATTACGGTATATTATATCCCCTCTTTGCATCCAACTCTCTTTTTATGCGATAGATACGTAAGAAAAAATCGTGTTATTTTGGAAAATTACAAAGAAAAATTAAAAAGAATTGCGTGAAAAGAGAACTGAGTGTATATATTTTTCCGAACGGCAGCGCAATCGATCGGCGACTGATTAATCGATTCACAGAAGAGAATCCTCTGAAGAAGGGAATCGACTATAACGTCCGATCATAGTGATACACGTAAGGCGCAAACCGGTTGGAGGCTGATTGGCGCACTTTCTTCGATACGTCTCTACGCCGGCCATGATCACCTCACTTTCGAGGTCAATGTCTAGGCCTAGCAATGTATACACCCGAGATGCGACTGACTCCTCTTGCATAGGCGCAACTTTCCTTGATCCGAGTGACTGACATTCAACGCGCGAAATTTTCTTGCTTCTCGATGGCGCACGTTTTCGCGGATGAGAGGTTCAAGTTTATTAATGATTTTAATTATCGTTTGAGGCTTAGGACAAAACCAGAAGCGGTTTGAAAGCAAAAAGGTCGAATATCACGCAGACTGATCGCTCGCGTCTCCAAGACCGGTTATTATAACAGAATAATATCAGATTACTAATTATCACGCTTTAATTATATCGTTACACTCCGCATGTTCTTGTTGCAAATGCTTATCGCGCATACGTGATCAGCGAGGCAACGATGTGACGTAAGCTTTTCAAGAAATATAAGTTTAATTAAATTTCATTTAATCGCACATGGAGATCTCGACGAGCAACGAATCCCTCGATCCGCAGATCTGCCGATCTCGTAATGCACGCGAGGCGTTTCTTTCGACCACGCGTGTTTTCTCCGTATCACGCAGCGCCGGTACGTTCAGTGCAATGCATCTGGCAAATGAAGAAGCAGCGAAAGTAAAACCCCTCGCATACGAAGAGTGTCTTCGCGTACCCGCGTGCAATTTTACAACGTTAATGGCGTAATACCCGCTGAGCGATTGCTTCTTCCGAGAATTCCTCGCGTGGAAAGCGCGTGCCTTTTGCCGAGGTTAAACGCAGAGGTGCCTAGGTGCCTTCTGCTTGAATTAAAAAGAAATTGGGAAGAAACGTGATTGCAATTAATTCGTATCTATAAGGAGAGGAGGATCTAAATTGGAGTAGAGTCGCGCGGAGGGAAAAGCAGAGACTGCCGCGACGCCGCCGGGTCTGTCAGCCTAAACGCGATGGGTGGATACAAGTCATTTTGATCCAGCTGCTAACTATAAACCGCCTGAATCGCCTGTTGCCGATGCTTTCTACTGTCACATGTCACATGACTAAGTGCGCGATTGACCGCGTTTGAACGTCTCGTCGTGTCTCGTTAAATGTCGCAGGATGACGGGCCTCTCGCGCCTCTTCCCGCGATTCGTCAAACAGCATATTAAAAACAAGAAAATTGTTTATGCGAATTACACTGAATCGCGGCCTCAATCGAGCATCGCCCGTAATTCCTTTGTTCAAAATCGTCGATCATCGGCGACGGGAAGTGCGCGATTTTCGATGTACCGCTCTGCAATCACATGATTGCTAATTAGCTGCTCGACCGACTGTATAAACTCATTTTGCATTAGAACGGGAAACGTAATGCGCGGAACGGCAATTAACAACCCCCCGACCGTGAGAATCTTCCGAATTTTTCCAGAATGCGAATCCTTATTTGCGAATCGAGCACGTCCGCGGCTGTAATGAGTCGATGACCGAGATATTAAAAGTAAGACACATGAACAAATGACGAAAGGGGGTATAAGTCGGTCGATAGAGCGTAAACTATAGCTAACGAGTCATTCACGAGCAAACGACAAGTGACAAGTGCGGTATAGTCTTTATGTGTAGTTACGGTTAAATAACCGTGAAAGGTTTCGCGTTTGATTTAATTCGTACAAATTGAACATTAATTTAAACTAACGCCTCGAAATCATCTGTGCGATAGAAGAACACGTTTCATCTTCGCGCAAACTTTCTCCGGGGTTTGTATAAAACTCTGGATAAGTATTAGATGCGAATGAGCCTCACGAGGCAGTTTAATAAACCGCAGCGCAGCTTCAAAAGGGTTAATATTTCAAACCTATCATTGATTCCAACACAATTGCTTGGCGTGCTTGTGTGATTTCAGTAAGAACCATTGCACGGATTGTTGCAAAAAGTATAATAGTATATATATATATATATATATATATATTCGCAACGATCCGTGTTAGACAAGAAAATCGATACTGTTAAAAATAAAAAAAATTATACGTTGTATGTACCGCGCCTGGAACAAACAAGTCTCAAGTATCACTTGGCTCGAGTCGCACCTCGGCAAAGCCAAGACCTAAAGAGGACCATTATCACGCGAGGTAGCATATTTTACGAGAAATTCGTACGCCGGGTAATCCCTCGGGTATAATTTTTATTCCATTCGCAGCAATAAAACCATCTGACGAGGATCGCCTATATCTCTTACCCGAAAGTATCGTTGCTCCTCGCTGATTTCTCCGGCGTGGATCAAAAACGATGACGCGTGACCCTCGTCACTTCGTGGCGATGACCCTCTTCGTCGGTACCGGCGCGATTACGACGACTAGCGAGTGTCCCGTTGGGATACGCGCGAGCTCTCATTCAAGAGGGTCCCGTCTGTCGACGGATACTAGCACCGGGTCGCCGGCGATCTCAGCGAAGCGATCGTGGGGCGGCACGTTGCTCAGGGATCGCCACCCATGTCGACGATCCATACGCGAACACGGTCACCATCACCACCCGCGGACGGATCCTCGGTGGTCGCCTGGCTCGATTCCTGGGAGAACCCACGGGGGCGGAATCGAAAGTAAACGTGGCCGCCGGCGCGACACGGTCTCTACCGTTTCCGTCGAACGATAATAATTAACTTTCACGTGTCTCGATTCACCACCTCGCCTCTCGTCGCCGAATTCTCGCGCGCCTTGTCCTCGGTGACAGAAAAACACTACGGAGCAACGCTCCCTGGCCATTCCTACGATCGCGGAGGGTGCAGGCGCCGGCCGGCCGCCATCATAGAAATCAATACGCACCTCTACAACGGGGGAGCCTGCACCCCCGTGTATACGGGATTCCTTTAAACGGGACGGCCCATCGCTTTGCACCGCTGATTGCAAGTGGTGCACGAGGAATGGAAAATCGCATCGTAAAGATCGTCGGTCTTCTTACCTTTCATCTATATTATACGAAGATCGCACGGATCCTGCAGATATAAATCTCATTCTTTTCATCCAGGCCAAGTCGCAGTGTCGAAATGTTTTTGGAGGAGAATAAAGGGCGATACAAAATCGATGTGCAAGACGACTTTCTATGTGCATTATCCTTTTGACCGCATCACCTGGTATCCACTTTACTGTTCACCGGTCCACCCACGCAGTGTTGAGATTCTTCCGATGGTAATAACACTCCACGTCTGGAATAAAGTATACAAATTATCCTTAGAAGAGATTTTCTTTCTACGTTAACGACGATCAAAAACGGATCGATATCAAAAGACAAACTGCCGAAGTTAACTGGAACTCGTCCAATTTTCTATCCCCCTTTAGACCTGCCCTTAGAAAGAGATGCATATAAAATCCTGCCGGTTTATACTTTCACCATGTTCTATATTTCGTATCTAAACTGCTCTTTACAAAGTCCGATGACCTTTCTTCTAACGCTCAGGCAAACCACGTGAAACCGTGGCCCGGTCCTTTTCGATGGCCGATCTTTTTAGTCCACCATTCTTTTAGGCGATCATCCGTTTAACGGGAAAGTCAGAGGGATCAGTCGTGTCTAAAGGAACGCTCGCTAACTATTTACATCGTGTAAGCATCGAGGAAGCGGCTGGAATTTGACGAAGACGAAATATGAAGAAATGCAAAAGCGTAGCTAGGATCTTGCGGTTCAAAGTGCAAGATTCGTCAAACAAAATTAACTGCATCGCGCAAAAAAGTATTGGCACTTATTTTCTGAGATAATTTTGCACGAGATGAGATATTACCCTGAAGTATTTTGTTGAATGTCAACACATGAAAAAAAACCAACGTATTCTCTCTAATAGAGTTACAGCGATATTTTCATTTTTGTAAAATTATCTGAAGATGATAGGAAAGAATAGACAAACGGAAACGTTAGACTCTCTCTTATTTATCATATCTTTACCTACACGCTTGTACATACATTAATAATGCACAATCGGAAATAAATCAAGCAGCCGTCCGCCTCCGGCGGATCCGAAAGCGTCATCTTCCTCTACCATCCTGTCGCAACGCCCTTCAAGAAGAGATGAGCAAAGGAGGAACGGGAGGTCTCATCGAGGCCGACGATCGAGGTCGGGTTTTAGACGCGCGTGACGTAGCGCCGTCTAAATGAACGGTACCGTTGCTCCAGCCGCTCCAGGACGCTACCAGGAGGAAAGGAAAGGACACCGCAATCTCGCGCTTCCTCCTCGGTCATTTGCCGAGCCTGCATCAGTACCTGCTATCCGTAGCCCGGACTAAACGCCTATACTGACCCACTCTCACTCTCACCTTTCTCTTTCCCTCTGTCTCTTTTTATTAAATTTTCTCTTCTCAACAGCGGCTCTGCCTTCTTGCCGCTTGCCGCGCGTTATCGAAATGATAAGATTTACACGCGCAAACACACCTCTCTGTCCTCTGCGAGAGACCATTCTCCTTAAATACAGCTACTCGAGAAGAAGGAAGTAAGAGGGGAGAGAGGAAGAGAATCGCAAAATATTGGGAGCATTTCAAGATTCGTTTTGCTCAACACGACAATGATAATAAAGTCGCCGAGAGATAAAACGTGCGGGGAACATGCCGACGCGCGAGCGGAGGAATGGCATGTGTCTGAAACTGCACTTAGAGCTGCGAATAAAATAGAAGGGTGATGCAGGTTGTCGGCACGTTCCATTAGCAAATGGATGTTAAAAATCGGAATAATACACGATAAAAATATCCGTCACGCGGTAACTTGACTCGACTACGTGATGCGAGTAACGCGTCTACGCAAAACAGTCCATCGTTACGCAATTCGCAACGGGCAATTGCGACAAGCACAAAAGCGGATGACAATACCTGCAATTGGACTAGATTGCGACAGTAAAATAATTGATAATTGACTAATTGCCGCGCCGCGCGCCGCCCTGGCATAAGGGATGCCGGAGAACCGTCGTCGCGGTCAGTTGACCACGTCCGGCTGAGATGAAGCGCACACTTCCAGCAGTTCTGCTTCACCTATGGTGGAATTCTCTCCCGGAAGTGTGTTCCTCGAGGTAAACGACTTCGTGCTCCTTTAAAAGTCATTTTCGCCTCGTTACGCACCGCGCGACAAACCGCGCCGTTTCGTCGCGGCGGCGTCCTTTATCGCTTTCGAATATCAGCGATAGAAAAATTGCGAAACGACAGTTTCCGACAAGAAAGTGTCCTTCGTTTTTAATATGTTGTATTCTAGATCAATAAGGAGGGAATACGTATCTTTTTATACGCGCCCAATCGCATGTTTAAAACACCCCTTTGAAAAAATTGGTCATCTCTTTCGAGGCAAATATCGATGAAACTATAAAAGATAGAAAACATTTTTTCATTAAAAGTTGAATGGTTTTAAGAGTACTTTAAGATAATACAAAAATTTATATATTTTTCTGTCTTTCAAAATTCCTCTACTACTTAATGTTTTTTTTGTTAATTAAAAAAATTTTTTTATCACCAAATCAAAAGTTACTTTATTATGAATTCAACCATATACATATAATAGAGTTATATTTGGCTACTTTCAAGAATTAATTACAAACCCCTCTGTACACACCGCTATCCATGCCTATTCATGCATTCGATTCGATTCTTTACGCAACACGTTCTGTTTTATATCTTCCTCTGACAATAACAAGTACATTTGGAGGACATTCTATTTATAATGACGCAAGTCATTTTTTACGCAGGTAGAACGCTTAATTATAATAATAGAAATAGAACATAGTAAAGTCATAGTATCAAGATATAAAAGTCAAATATATAAATGAGTCAAAGTGCACGCGCCAAATAACGCGTATGAGCACGTATGGAACGTATAAAATCCGCACAATCAATTATACATGTTTCTAATATGCGATGTTACTAATTGAATCACGTAGACTTATGGAATACGTGTTGCAGTATTCAGTAGTAAATTTCCAACTGTGCAATATGGACATCATAATAAAATAATCTTTGATTTGGTAATAAAAAAATTTTGTTTGAAAAAAAAAAAAAAAAAAATTAACGAGTGATTAACGGGTATTTAAAAAAATATATAATATATAACTTTTTTTCTCATTGTTTTCAAGTACTCTTAAAACCCCATTCGACTTTTAACTTAAAAAATTTCTATCTTTTATAGTTTCGTCGATATGATGAGATCCAAAAGAGAAAAACCAATTTTTTTCAAAGGAATGTTCACCCCTTAAATATATGATTGAGCACGCATAAAAAAATACTTGTCCCTCATTTTGATCTAGAGTACAATATATTGGAAGTTCATAAAAATCGGAAGGAGGCACTTCAGTGGGTTTTCTTATAAAATGCGGAAAGAAGCAAGCCCGAGTTCGATCGGTTCTTTTTCTAATATATTCGTGTTAATGTTATTCAAAAGAAACAAGCAAAAATTGTAGGATAAAGCGAGCTGCTGTTTCCTGCCAGATAGGATGATTTGAAGCTAACGCGGCAGGTCCATGAGAAGTCGTTATTACAATGATTAATGTTTACGATATTTAATGTTCAATTTGACAATATGCGCTTGTGATGTTAAACTCTTGTGCGTTTCTCGTGACAAAAAAGAAACAAATTTTTCTAACTCCGTACTTTTGCTTCTCCGAAGACAGGTGCGGTGTTAAGCTGCTCGCTCACAACCTCTCTCTCGCACGATCAAATAAGTTACCTAACCGAAAAGATAAACAGCACGTTTTATCTCGCTGAAGTAAAGTCTTATAGGACTAAGATATTCTCCCGCGTTTAATGTAACGAAGAATTCCCAATGAGTCAGTAATGACAGATGTAATGCAGAAATACAAATAAAACGACGAACGTCGAATAAAAAAATTGTGTTAACAATAATGGATAAAACAGAAAAGAGCTTTAACAATGACGGGATTTTCCTCGCAGCTTGTTTAGCGAAGATGTCAACAATTGTACTATGACGTCGAGGCTAATTCTGCCGGAACACTATGTCAAAGGTAATACGCGACTCGAGGAGAGTCATTCGCACTTACGTTTCTGGCATAAACGATGAGCAACCATATGTAATAAAAATAAAAAATTCTCTGCAGAGATTAGACCGCCTTCGGGTGCGCCTGTAGTGGTGGACTTCAACATTTTAGTGGTCGACATTAACTCGATCAACGTTGAAGATATGGATTTTCGGTAAATTGAAATGATAAAAGCTTCTTTTAAATTATAATCAGAAATAATAAAAAATATAGAATTTAATTAATATATAATAAAAATATTTTATCTTGTTAATTTAAAGTATAGAATATAGATGTAAAATATTATCAAATTGTAAGAATATATATTCATTAGTGTGGACATGTTCGTCAGTCAAAGTTGGATAGAATCTCGGCTGAATACGCCACAAGATATTTTCGAGGAAGGCGACGATTACGTAATACTTCCTCAGGAATTTTTCGATAATCTTTGGCAACCGGATCCGTATTTCTTAAATTCGAAAGTTTCCGGTAAGCATAAACTGTAAACTGCATTATCTGCGTGCAGTTATTATACGATAAATCGTTATATGTATTGATAATTTTTCAGAGATTGCGACTTTAAATCATAAATTCTCATTAGTCACTTTATACCGGAATAAAACCATTAAATATTCCGCACGAATTAACGCTATCGTCGCCTGTCAAATGGAATTTCAATTGTACCCGATGGATATTCAAATCTGTCCAATTTATATAGAGAGCTGTAAGTGAGCTTTAAAAGACAAATGCAAATACAAGTGTGCATGGCAATCGCGCAACGATATAAACTCACGCTTTTTTGTAAAATTATTTTTGAAATGAAGGACCAAAGAAAATTGAGAAAAAACGTAAATACTCTCGGATAAAACTCAGTAAATTTATCCGCTTGTTACAGTCCGAATTATTTGTTGCAGTTTCCTACAACAGAAAGAAGTTGCTCTTAAAATGGGGCACGGGCGGTGTTACGGTAAATCCCGAATTGAAGCTTTTGCAATACGACATCGGAAAGCCCGCGGTACTCGAAGAAACTATAGATTATATGCTCGAAAAAAATGGTATGTAACAAAATTTAGCATTTACGTGTTCCTTTAATCTAAATCTGAAATTTAATCAACCAGCTTGATTCTATCGATTTCGATGTCTTCGTCCCATTCATTACAATAAACTGTACTGTCCACGTTGTATTATATTAAATCTTTAAAACCCAAGTAGAGAACACAGTAGCGCGCTGTTAATTATATAATAAAAGATTACGTGCTAAATAAAAAAAAAATAAACTTACCTGACAATTCTCGCAGGAAATTTCTCGCGGCTGGTATTCTTCTTTCGCTTCGAGAGGCAGATCGGCCACCACTTGATACAAACGTTCGCACCGTCGACTCTGGTGGTGATGCTCTCCTGGTTCAGCTTCTGGCTGGACTTGGACGCGATTCCTGGCCGAGTGACTCTCCTGGTGACAAGTATGCTCACGTTGGTGACGATGTTCACCGGCCTTAAGAGCGATATTCCGCCAGTGGCTTATATCAAAGTAAATTTTTATAAGTACTCCTAAGCTTCGATCACCTTATTATCGTTATTACCTTTTGCATAACGTGAACAAATCCCTCGTATTGATATATATCCATCTTTTCTGACATAAAAATTTACACCCTCCGCTTACGCAGGCACTGGACATCTGGATGGCTGGCTGCATGATGTTCGTGTTCGCAGCTCTGGGCGAGTTCGTCGTAGTCAAGGTGCTCGATCTGCGAAACGACCAAAATGATTCGCAAAATTCCATGGAATCTCACTCGTTCTCGGTTCGTGTCTAAAGGCCCTTGCACAATGCCAGGCAACAGGCAACAGGAACAGGGAATAGAAATCAGAAATAATGTATAAATGCAGAATAAACAGTGAATACACGGGCAATAAACACTACGGAGTTTCGGTCACGTTGAAGATTCTGTGCCTATTGTCTCTGTTGCCAATCGATCATAACATTCGAATTTTTCAGGTTGTAATTAACGAATTTTTGGTTATTTCCTATTGCCTGTTACCTGGCATTGTGCAAGGTTCTTGAAAATTACCTGAATTACCTCGTACCTCGTAGCAATCTTATTGACGATCTGCTTACAGCGTTTTCGACTGGGCCGGGGTTGCTCGCCCCGGGAGCGATTAATGACGTCACTTCGGCAAATCGACTAATGTTATTACTCGATTTGTCGAAATGACGTCAATTAATCGCTCTCGGGGCGTCTCGGAGCGAGCGAACCCGGCCCACTTGAAAGCACTGTTAGGAGAGGCTGTTATAATTGCACTTTATCTTTAAACACGATTATTTATCTTTAGCGATTAATGGCAATGGTGAAGAGACGAAGCATTTGGGATGACGATTTCGTTCACACAACCAAACCGAAGAATAAGTATACCAATAATAACAATAATATACTGCCAACTCTATGGCTAGATCCCGAGTGCCAAATAACGCAAAGGACACGCTCTCAGAAAATAGATTGTTACAGCAGAATTGTGTTTCCCATACTATTTCTGCTTTTTGTCGTTCTATATTGGCCGATAGTGCTACTCAAAAAAGCGCCATGATAAAATGATAGAAATTCTACATATTAAATCTTTACTAACACAGCTCTACATATACACACAATCACTCTCCATATTTGAAATTTGTGAATGAGTTGAAGATATCGTCGTGGCGTCGATTAAAAATTAGAAGTGTATCACGAGTTTGGATATAATAGAAAAATAAAATATACGTTTTTTTTTGGCATTTGTTAATTTTTTTATTTACAATACTTTTATACTAACAAAGTTTTCATTCTACGAAAAATTTTAATGAAGCTTAATCCGTATCCACTTCTTCTATGGAAATATCAGATTCGTCGTCTATCGTGATCGCAGAATGCCTCGATGCATCTTTCGCAGATTTTAGGTCTCCTATCCTCAGTATATAACTTATCGTGTATTGATTAAAATCACATCTGTAAAAATATTTTTAATTATACTACCATGATTATAGCAATATGTATATAAATGTATTTAAGAAAACGCAACAACACTTACATTTTACTAAGATCGTCGTATTTCTTTTGCATGTTCTTATGCAGCATTAATAATACCGGCATCTGAAGTGAAGTATTGATCCGTGACCCGTATTTCGTCAAAATTGTTTCTACCCATAAAAGATAGAAATGTATATGCCTCGTTGATTCCAATTCGGCCGCTATAAATTTCAGGAGCTTCTCGATATAAACGTCTGGCATGCTCGTCGTTGTTAATTCAACTGTAATATGGAGAAAACAAATATTATACATCAAATCATTGTTATTATCGTTACTATCGTTAGTGTATTTAATTATATAATATGAACTCACTTTCTTTGTACGGAATGGTTTCTATAACTTGTTGCGTTAATAGCTTCTCATTTAACTTCAATGCCATCATTAATGCTAAAAGGGTAATGCAGTAATATAGTTTACATTTATTTGTTATTCTTCATTCATTATTCTAGTATAAAGATGTCTACCTTTTGCATAGTCGTGTTTGTCAAGTGTTTCTTTGACAGTATCCGGAGTAACTCCAAGCTCCAATTGAAATGGATCGAACATCAATCCAATATCCAAAGAGTATATCAGCAAACCTTCCGTTGTTGCTGCCGCCCATGCTTGACCTGTTTTAAAAAATGTTTAAGTACGCGTATTTCAAACAAAATGAATATTTAATATATCATTCGTTTCTACCTGTGGGAGAGAATTGTAAACACAGTACTCTCACTTCCGGTTTGACTCTCCTGCTTGCCATATCTCCACTTTTGACACCTGGCAATCGCATCGATATGTTTCCGCCTTCACGATGCTCGATTAAAGCTCTATTTCCAAATTCCGACATGTACTTTCTATTTATAACATCCTGCAAAAATAAAAATTACTTAGAAAATAAAAAAATAGGTTTGGATTGTTTTGCAACTGATTCTACATTTCAGCCTAATAAAGGAAAAACTTAAAATATTTTGTATATTATATATTATCGTTACTTACATCCACACCATCCAGAGATCTATTTTGAGTGATCTCATATTTTTTCAACAATATTGATTCTTGAATATTATAAATGCACACGTTCTTGGAACGACCACCAGCTAATATACACGTGCCGTCAGCCGAGTAACATAACGTAGTGAAGGCTCTGAAGAATAGGATTTATTAAGTTCGTATCGTTAAGACATACATTTACCGCATAACATTTTCTGCACTGAGTTACTCACTTGGACTGCAAATTCTTTTTCGCTGTGATGAGATCTGTTTTGGATCTACCAGCGCCTAAATCGGTTCTGCCCTCGATAAAGCCCGTCTGTCTTGCCGTTTTACACTCAAAAAACGTAATCTGCCCATCCAGTGTAGCGACAGCGACTTCTTCTCCGCTTGGTTTGTAAGTTACGCACAGCGCATCGGCGGTCAAGCGTATAGTCTCGTGCACGGAACCATTCTCAACCGCATTCCATATTTTCAATGTCTTGTCCCAGGATGCGGATACCAGTTCTGTACTGGCGGGACTGGGATTAAATGCCAAGCTTGCAACAGGTCCCTCGTGACCACTTAGTATCTAAAATCGAGTATTTTATTTAATACAATTCAATCTTCTCAATAGTAAAAATTAAAATTGTGCAAGTCAATGTTCGAGGACAAACAAAATTACACGCACCTCTAAAAGAGTTCCGAGTTTCATGCTCCATAGATACACGTCGAAGAAATCTTGACCACCCGCAGCGAGAAACTCGTCGCTCGCGTCGATCGCCAAACAGGAGAATTGCACTGGACGTGGCGAGGTGAGAGTACGGAAATTCCTGTATCTCACTAGATCGTACGCCCGCACCGTTCCATCCAACGAGGCAGACGCGACGAATTTACGATTGTGACTGAACAGAACACTGGATATCGATGAAGTATGCTCATGGAACGTAAGCGTACAAAATCCAGTTAACGTATTCCATAGTTTAACTTTCCCGTCGTCACCACCCGTTATAATATATTGGCCGTCGGGACTGTACGCCAAACAGTTCATATTAGTTCGATGCCCTTGCTGTTTCATAGCGTATGTTTCACTTTGCCATTCCCAAACCAGGAGCTGACCAGCGTGAGAGCATCCTATAGCTATCCAATCTCCAGAAGAATTCAACGCAATCGACGAAATACGCTGTCGAGAAATACTGTAAAGCCAATCGTTTTAATCTCTAATATCACATACAATAATAATGTAATAGGATATAAACGTTGAATCATAGTTTTTATGTTACTGCACCTTAATGAATGGATCAAATTGGCGTGTGGCATCTCATACAAGTAAAATGAACCATTGTTAAATCCAATAACTAATATATGAGTATCTTGATGATAAGCAGCTGCAGTAAGTTTCGCATCTTTATATTGTTTGTGAACTTCGTCTGCTAGATAAAAAGTAGCTCGCTTTTTATAACCCAACATTTTCATTCCCTTTTTATTTTCCTCTTTTGTCGAGACTTCTTCTTCTTCTTCTTCTTCATCATCTTGCGGCAAGTCGTCTAGTAAAATATACGTATTCATACAAATTACTATTATATAATGTATTATTATAAATTACTATTATACATACAGTAGAACTATTATTTCCTATCATCTATGTTCTACCAAGTTTTGTAATTATTTACAAACAATATCAAATTAACTTCATAAAATGGTAAAGAAATTTTATCACCTGCGTTTAACAGTTTACGTTCAGCATGAGCCTTTTGCTTCTCTGTCTTCTCTATAATTTTGTCTATATCAATGTCATCCTCGCTATCACTATCTTTGGATTTGTCCTTCTTTGAAGGTGGTTCCCATTCAACCCAATCATCCGGTTCAAGCGTACATTCCCAGACACAAACTCGGCCATTTCTGTAAAAAAAATTCTCAAAAATAAACAAATTTAAATTATCTATATAAAATATCATTGTGTACGAAAAAAATTGTTTGTCCAGTAACAAATATTGTGACAATAAATTAAAAATTATTTAAATTTTTTTAACTGCATCGCTTACTTGCTAATAGTGTACAAATCATATTGCTTTGCTTCGAAGAAACATGCCACAATTACATCGGAATGACCACCTAACGTAACCCATCTAAAGTTCGCCGATTTTTGTAAACTATATATCTTCACTGTGGTATCCTTCGAACCAACTGCTAATAGTTTCGAGTCGAAAGACCAACTGACGCACGTTGTTTCAGCAGTAGCTCCGTGAAACGCGCGTTCCATAATAAAAGGATTGTAATCACCCGTTTGTAAGCCTGGCGCATTGAAAACAAAAACTGAAACACAAAAACAATACGTGTTATTTTAAATAATCGTGTTTTGGTAAATACACCTCTACAACTTTACGGTAGCGAATACTTACCGCCGCCTCCTTTGCAAACTGCAAAGTGCTTTCCATCTGGAGAGAATTTTACACGCTTGGGACGTCCTTTAAATCTGTACTTATGTAAAATAGCTTTGCTTATCAAACTGATGATATGAGCTTCGCCATCTGCGGATATATTATAAAATTATATTTTCTTTAACAAATGTTCCTTCATGTACATTATTAAATAAATAATCTTTAAGTGTGTGTACAAAAAAATCTTACCTGCGTTAATTGCAACTAACATACTACCATTTGGTGATACATCAATAGTAGTATAATTATATCTGCTTTCTATAGGAAGCGTCATGGATTTGTTGCTAAAAAGGAATTATTTTTGTATAAAATTAAGTAAAAATCATCGTGATATGAAATTTATAAGTTTCATGAAGCTTTTAGACATTTGATTCATATTAAGATTAATATTTTTTATTACTTCTTTAGGTCAAAAATCGAGATCCTGTTGCCCACAGGGCTAATAACTGACAATCCATCTCGGGAAAAGAGTAAGTCTCCTTTACGATAAACTGTGCCAAGTAAATTACTGAACTGTAAACAAAGAAATAAAAAATATTGTAATTCTTAAACATACACCTTCTTTATACATAGGTATTAGTAATATAAAATTATATACAATGTTTCTATTATAACATATGTTACTTGTCTTATTATCCAGAACGAAATAAACAAGAATATACAAATAGCAAAACTTATAGGTTAGAAATGCAATAACTTAATAATAACTTGAACAATACGATCTGCAGAAAAATAAAAACTTGTAAATTGCCAGCATTTTTTGAAACAATAAATATTTTACCTTGTATGAGAATTTCATCTTTCCTTTGTTTTTCTCAAACAAGTATCTGTCGAATCCACGTGCATCTGCATGCACGCGCGTTTATCAAAGTTTACGACACATTTTGGACAACTCAGTTCCAAAATTATCCGAACGAGAGCGCTCGGTAACTGTACTTCGCTGCACTTTCGTTGTTCAATCTGCGTCGATAGCGAAATAAATTTATTATATTAATTTTTCAAAAATTAATAACATATTAGGAGAATATAATCAAATAAAGATTTATATTAATTGGCAGCCCAAATTATATATGTATTACAATAATAATTTACCGACGTAAAAAAACCAACTGTCGATAATTTGCGAAGAAAACAATTCAAGTACTCGAAAGTCGACAAAGCACCAGAAAAATATAATCAGAGACAACAGGTGTTTTTTTTTGAAATTCTGATGAGAACTGCGATTCCAAGGATTCTTGTAATTTTTCAAGTCTGAAAGAAACTAGAAATCTCAAAAACTTATAAATCAGGAGAATATAATTAGAAAAGAGATAATTTTGAGTTTCTAAGAAATTCTATAATTTTAAATCTCAAAATTAAAACATGGTAACTCAAATTTTTAAAAACTGGCAGAGTGCAAAGATAACGTATAATTACGTAAGAAATAGTTAAATGGCTCAAGCTTATTAAAAAATATTTGCACAGTTATCGCAATAATTCGATCAAGTCGAAAGTTTCTTCAGTAAACGGCGTAATTGGGTCAGGGCCGCAATACATTTTTAGTGAGAGTTGAATAATACAGCAACGGCTAACGTAAAATATAACAACAAGCTAGGGTCTATTATAAAATACAAAGACAAATTATCAGCTGTTTATCAAGTAATTTCCTTTCATTTCATTATCTCAGTAATCATATCAATATATTACGCCGTTCGCCCTACTCTAGAAATTTCGCGATAGGCAGCGAGTCAGCTGACGCGAACAGTTCAAACGTCCGGTCATGTGCCTTCAACGCGTAAAATAGTCGAACACATTGGAGAAGATCGGCGTTCTCAGGATCGCGATATCATCGAAGGAACGTCGCGCGATCTCAAATCGCAAAGGACGATTCGCGCGATATTCCGCACCCAGGACAGGGACAGGGCCGTTCAAAAGAATCCGCACGAGTCGGCAAGCCGCGGAGAGCGGAAAACGCGTGTCACGCGCTCGCGACGCGGCGCGATGCGCGTCGGACGCGGCCAATCGGCGGCGTCGACGTCAGCCGGCCGGGGATGAGACGGGCGGCGCGATTGGCGGGCGGCGCGGGCTCGCGGCCAATCGCGGCCGGGCTGACGCCGACACGCCGCTGTCGCGGCCACCTTCCACCGCGTTGATCGCGCTCGTCACTTATCACATGACCCGCGCCACTGTGGTCCGTACTGACTGTACCCCGGTAGGCCATATTTGACAGTGGGCCACTAGTTTAGCGACGTGAGTGACGTGAAGATCGCTCCCTACGTTCGACGATCCCGGCCGATTCGCGACCGATCCCCGTGCAACCTGTAAATACTCCCGCGATCGACTCGACCGCCAGGACCACCCGACCACAAACCAGGCCACAATGAGTGCTGCCACGGAAAGCGCCCCGGTGTACTCGCCGTTCTTCGGCGTTATGGGCGCCGCCTCAGCCATCGTATTCTCCTGTGAGTTTCGTCGACTGTTTTTGCTGCCCGTCGCATCGCCACCTCGTGATCTCGCTCGCGCGTACGCGCGCGCTCGCTTCTCGACGATCCGACGTCGGCGGGAACGAGGCAGCCGAGGCGCTTCTTTATTGCGTTTCCGTGAGCTACGCGCATCAACATCGACTTGAACGTTGACGTCAACGTCGCTCGTCGCTCGTCGACGTCGTCGCCGTCGGCACGGAGCGCCGATACGTCGTCTCACGCCATTTTCTCATGCGGCATAAAGAGACGGACGGCGGACGGAAAATTATCGTGTGCGAGTAGCGCGGCGCGCGCGACGATTATCGATCCTCCCCGCGAGAAGAAACGCGGGGGAGAGCTCGTTCGCCTCGTTTTCCACGGGGCGGACGCGCGCCGACGGGCCTCGTCACCCTCGTCGGCGAACGGCGACGTCATGTGCCGCGAGACGCGTGACGAGCGGCGACGACGAGACTCTCGTTATCTTATCGAAAATTAACTCCCGGGCAACTGTTTAATGTCCCCATTCCGCTCTGATAAGCTACTTTCCTCTTTAAATTCCTTCCTTCTCTGTCTCGCTCGCTCGGCCGGCCGCCCGCGGGAATTTGGCAATTTCCTAGGAAACGCGGTCCAAGAAATCGCGTCGGTCGCGCGGCATTCCCCCCTCGAGGAACCCGTGCTTTATTCGCGAATCAGCGCGGAATAGCTGCGGCCGCGGCCGGACCGGGCGCAGCTATTTCGTAATGCTGACCTCGGACGAGCGGCAGCGGCGGCACGCCGCGAGAATTTTACGAGCCTCGGAAAAGCGACGGATGGACGGACAGACAGACAGACAGATGGAGAAGCGAGAACAGACGGACGGGAACGGAATACGCGATACGCGAGCGGGCGTGCGCCTGCCACCTCGTGCGTGTCACGAGACGCGGCTCCCCGCCACCCGCCGCGTCATGCCGAGCCGAGCCGATCGGTGCTCCTGCACCTTACCTGCACCCTCCGCACCTCGCTCTCTTTCGCGTTATTTTCGCGAAAAAGTTAATAATATTGACACCACGACGCGAATCGATCTCCTTCCCTCGCGCTCCTTCGCGGCAGGTCGCTCTTTCTTCGCGAGGCGAATGCGCTCCCGGCGCGCGTATCGATTTACAATTAATGATTTTCCCGAATTCGCGGTAAACGATGACCCCCGGGGACCGCCGCCACCGCCACCGCCGCCGGCGCCTCCGTGAGCGTCGCTTTTACCCGTCGGCAAGATCAATACGAATGCCTTTTCCCGTATGCGCCCTCGGCCTTTCCGCCGACGGGAACGCGAGACGCGACGGGCAAAGATCGCGATTCTCCTCGTCATTCTTCCCCGAAAAACATCGAGACCGTCGTATAAAATTGATCGTCTCCCGAGTAACCTTATACGAGGAGCGAATATGCCTCCGACTAAAGCATACAAATTTGATCGCGAGCCGATTCGGCGGTCGCATCCGGCCCGCACGTGTCGCGACCGAGAGAGCCGTCGCTCGCCGACGAGAGCTGATCCCTTCATCTCTAACGGCGCAGAAAACTTGTCGGAGATAAACCCTGAAATATGATGAGGAAGGTAGCCCACTTGTTTGATCCACAACGCCTCGGGCAGGCCGGGTATGATCGATCGGCCACGAACGCTCGAGAAGTGTTTATTTATATACGATAAGACGCGCATATGTTCGCGCACGATAAGGTGCGCGGCAACGATTAAATGCCCATGAGATCACGTCCCATGAGGTTTAATTGGAGCAGGACGTTAGGGCCGAAGGTACGATGGGAGAGACAGAGAGATAGAGAGAGAGAGAAGAAAAGAGAATGACACGATTGCCTCTCCCAGCCACGCCCCCCTACTCACGAGATGGGACTTGTGCGATTGTCATGTGACTGCCAACGTGAGAATCATGTGACTGCGATTTCCAGGCTGGGCTGGGTACCCCCGGTGTTATGTTACGAGGACACCTGTGAGGTCCCCCCTTCTTCCCCCCCGTCGCGACTGCGGCGATTCTCGCGCGGGATTGTCGCCGATGCTTCAAAAAGGGACAAAAGGGAAAAAATGACTCGAAATAATTATTTTCGTCGCTTCCCCGTCGGGACCGTTCCGCGACGAGCTCGATCGATAATTCTCGTATAGCACGCTCGGCGACTGAAACCGCCAAGAGTTATACCGCGCGTCCGGAAGAAATTCGCGACGGCACACGGTTCAAGCTTCATCTTTTCCTTTTTATTCCCCCTTTTCATGAGGCTCTCCTCGCCCTATGACGTGGAAGTTGATTCATGTCGGTCTTTAAATGAATCCTCGTATCACGTGCGTCTTGCGAATTAATAGATAATCCCCCGTTCGAATGCTTTGAAGAAAGATATCTCGAACGTTTACCGGTAAATTTTTATTAAATTTATGAAACGATGAATGGAGGAAGACGCACGTGATTCAGGGCGTATATCTTTTTTATGATAAAGTTCAAATGTTACATTGTAGAATGTTTGTTACATCCCTTTTATACTACGGGAGAAAATTTCGAGAGACGATTGATTATATTTAGCTATCATATTCTTTATTCTATTAAAATAGATGGATTGTCGGGCTATCGTTATATTTAACGTTCTCGATTTAACTAGAGATCTATAAGATTCTCAAGATGTTTTATCTCTCGTTTGATTATTAATATTCAATTCTGTATGTGGAACTGCGACACTGGTTTATGTGGATACATATGAAGCGGAATATAATTCTTATGCGACTGTGCGAATTATTTATAACGAATTATTTACCTTGTTTTCCAGCTCTGGGAGCAGCGTATGGCACAGCAAAGGCTGGCACAGGAATCGCAGCGATGTCTGTCATGAGGCCAGAATTAATCATGAAATCCATCATTCCCGTTGTCATGGCAGGTATTATTGCCATTTACGGTCTTGTAGTGGCGGTACTCATTGCCGGCACTCTTGGGAGAGCCCCTACTTACGATCTTTATAAGTACGTATCTTTTATATGGCGCAATAATACAAATCTGCTACTGTGACATTTAAAATCTCTGTACACGTGTAAAAAAAAATTGAGCAGCGTTTTACAGTATTGTTATAATTACATTTAAACGTTTCATGCTTTGACAAAAGAACGTAAACGACTCTGTAATTAACTGAAATATTTTTCTTTTGTTTGGTAGCGGTTTCACCCACTTGGGTGCTGGGTTAGCAGTAGGCTTCTCCGGTCTGGCAGCCGGATTTGCTATCGGCATCGTGGGCGATGCCGGGGTGAGAGGCACCGCTCAGCAACCTCGTCTCTTCGTCGGCATGATCTTGATTCTGATCTTCGCCGAAGTATTGGGTCTTTACGGCCTGATCGTCGCCATTTACCTGTACACCAAGTAAACGGTCAGTAGCGGCATCCTACTACCTGCCATGGTTCCATACAAGACATGTCGCCTGCAACCAACAGCGCTCCCCGACTATTATTATGCTACAAAACTTGTTTCGACATATTTTACTTAATCACGTTACTCCATGCATACCTAATCTAATTACCATCTCGGCTCATCTCTGCGCGCGCGCCCCCCCTGTAATATCATACTAAAAAAAAAAAAGAAAGATTGATCTATTTAGCGTACGGACATTAAACCACGCCACGCATTACTTGTCACACGGATTGCATGATTATATCGAAGGTGTTGCGATGGAGAAGTGCGGCCGGTTTCTTTTCTTGATTTCGCGACACGCGTGATGGCGCATTTCGATGCTGCGACGTATGAAAAAGCGAATGTATGGCGGAAAAAAAGAACGAAAGAAAGCGTGGAAAACAAAAGTCGACAGGGAAATACATATATTTAGAGAAAAGATCTCCTGTGTTAATCCCATTGTCGAACATTTCTCTTTCACTGTATAGTAATCATTTATAGCTTAGTACGACATTGAATTATCAGTTAAAGTAATCGGCTCTACTGAGTGTATAAAGGAAAATATGTTATTGATAAAAGAATATTTAGCACAATTATATATATATATATATAATATATATATACATATATTATAAATGCAAACCGGCAGGTACGCGACTAGGAATCACACAAAAGAGCAAAAGAAAACTCTAAAGAAACGAAATTATATCATCGGAATAGAAATATGTAAGAGTAAGCGACACGCAAATTGCGCGTGGTAAAACGGCGTAATATAACAGAGAGAAAGGGAGAGAGAGAAAGTGAGAATGTGAGAATGAGAAATGTTACTGGACAAGATCTCGTGTGGACGGAGATTGTGCAACTAGAAATTAATAGACGAAGAATGATATGGTGGATGAGAGACTTTAGTAAAAAGGAAAAAAGAAAAAAGTATGAATGCGAGTAGTTGATCACAGATACACAACAAGATAGTATTAAGTCAATTGGGAAAGTCTGCTGGACACGACGAAATTTCACATTTTCACGGTTATTCATAGACAACGATTCGTTGCGCGGTAGACGAGATAGGGAGGGCGGATTGGATGGAAAAAAGAATGTCTAACCGAGTTGTTAAAACCGCAAAGGCCAGCGGTCGACACTCGATTATTCGCACGATTTTAATCCAATCCCGCATTATTTCTATTACCGAGAGAAAAAAAAAACGTCGTATGTCAATGGAGTAACAGGTACATGTGAAACTTGCGTAAAACCGATAAAGTATCGTACGTACCAGCAGACACATCAGTACACACATACACAGAAAGTGAGAGTGAGAGACACAATACCGTATGATAGCGAAATCAATGATCATCTGAGAGAAGTTATATACGCTGATAATGAACATGTAAACGGAGGATAATTTGTACATTCCATATTAAGTTCGTTCAGTACAGGCGAGCGGGCGTTTGGCGACAGTTTGGCGACAAAATTCGCGACAAGTAGGTCCGTGCTGCGTCGCGTTCTTCGAAATCAATCGATCGCACATTCACGCACCTCACATGGGGCAGCAGCCGGCAGACGGACCTGTATTGTCCTGGGATGGATTGTCCTTCGGGAGCCGACAATCTTAACCCTTTGTGCGTGCACGACTTTTCGATCGGCTGCTATCACCTCTCTTCCACGGTTATCACGTTCGGGTAGAAAAGAAAAAGAAAAACAAAAAATGTGCAAAACCAAGAACGCCCGCTTGCCATTTTCGACTGCGCAGTATTTTCTACCTAAGAAATATGCAAACAAGCTCAACGATATAGGTGTATTTCCAGTGAAGAGAGAAAAAAGGAATCATCGAATTGACAAGATCTTGTTAGGCGGAAAAAGAATGGAAGGATTTAACAACATTTGTCCGGAAAAACGCTCTCGCTCTGGAAATCCACCTGTATGCATATCCCTCGAGATACCATCGGAAACAATAGTCATCTCGACGTCGTTGGGAACGAAGAACGAGCGTGGAAATTGCAATTTTCCGGAAACTCGCGTCGCTTAAAAAATTATGAAAAACGAAAAACTATGTACGAGCGAGCCGGGGAGCGGTGGTGGTGGTTCGTTTGCCTCTTCCTTTTTTTTAAATCTTGTTTTTCCTTCGCAACGAGGTACGCTCGGGAGAATGCAGGCACGCTAGACACGTTTTACCGCCAACTACCCTTCTTCCCACTATTTCTGTCCGTTGTATATTTTAATATATGTACGATATATCGGGAACCGTATCGGAGAGCTAAAGACAAACAGGAAGAGAGTCCGAAAAAAACGAACCCGGGATTTAGTTATAGTTGTACGCGCGCGTGCGATGTATGTACATACCACCATGATGCTTCACGCTACGATAATTACAATTTAGGCTAGACCTAGATAAGGTATTGTTGTATACCAAAACCTCGTGTAGCTGAGTGAACGGTAATTATTTGGGTAATTATGCGAGAGAGAGAGAGAGAGAGAATGGAAAAAAATGTGCGAGAGGAAATGCTTGAGAGAGCGAAAGATAGATGCACCTGGCAGAGGGAGCAGAGAGAGACCGCTGTCACCACCGCTGCCGCCACCCCCCCGTTCCCCCTCGCCCTCGAATCCCAAACTACTATCTTCCAGTGTTACTGATAGACTCATTGTTGAGCGCGAAAAAGTGATACTGATCGACGATGATTATTTATGTTATAATTCGTCCTCGATGTTACAGAAGAACCGTGTTTAATAAAAATTTCATTTGGACAAAAAGAAGAGAAAAAGGACGGTATCCGGCCAGTATTACTCCAACCAGTTCGCGGAGTCTCACCTGAGATCGAGATAAGCGGGTCGAATTCTAACGAGATGCTCCAGATTCGTCGTGGGCTCGTGCGGAACCGGAATCAAAATGCTGAAAAAGAAAAATGGATATATGGAAACGAATTCTACGGTGGAATTAAGTCTGTGTTTTCGTTCGCTGATCCACTCGACGAGTTTTATCGAGGAAGATATCGCTCGGCCTGTTAGCTCACCGCCGTTAGAATCCGAGCCGCTTATTCCGGGGCATTGTTTATATTTATTAGCTACATTTATAAATGTGCATTTTTTTCTGTCACTGCCATTCGATCGGGATGAGAGGGAACGACGCGCGCTCGTTTCAATACTCGCATTTCTAATACCGGCATTTACGCATTCAGCTACGATTCTCTTTACGCTATATTTATTTATTTTTAATGATACCATCCGATCCAAAAAATTGTATAACGCGAACCCTTTGTTCGGCGGTCAGAAAAAAGAAAAAACAAATCGGAAAGATCCTTTCAAGTGCATGAGAAACGTCGGATGCGTTTCACGATGTCTCGATGCTTTGATTTTCCCGAGGATGATAATAAAGCGCGAATCTATCCATCCGAATCCTGTAAATATCCGTACCTCTACACCTCGTTCACGCGAGCTTGCGTGAATCGCAGTTGCGTAATCCGCGATCGAATATTCTAGCAATCCGCAAGCCGTATACGGTAAGTGTTATTCTGAGTATTACTTCCTCGTGATACGCGTGACGAAATATCCTGTTGTTCTCTCTGATATCTAATTCGACTGATCAATTAACTCGATATCACGTGTGATCGAGTAGCATGAATTCCGATAAGATAAAATGATTCAGTCATAGTGGAGATGAGGGGGACATTCCCGCTGCGGCTTATTACTTTTTTTCGAAGAGACGTGACAATCATTTTACGCTTAAACACAAAGAATAGATGGTCCTAGGAACAGTTTTTATTGACAGAGATAAAAGATACGTTTTTTTTTTTTAAATCGGTTTTAATATCCAGCGGAAAGGAAAGGGCGAAGACGCGCTAAGATTCTACGTAACGTGGTTCGATTATTCGCGAAATAATACTGAGAGATGTTACACATGGGTCAATCGGTATGCGTACGTTCGACCGAGAGGAGTCGTAATTATGCAATCATACGTGAGAGAGTAAATTCACAAAGTCCAAAGTACATACACACACGCATACAGTTGCTCGCGGAACGGAAGCGAGATGCAATCGCATAGATGCGTTGTAATTCGGCAAATAGACACGAACGTTGGTCGACGAGGAACAGCGAATATACGAATGTCCGCTAACGTATTACAATAGCGTTACAAACATTTTTTTTTTTATTCTCGCGTGCGAGGGGGAGCGACCGGGTCGGTCCCCGTAGGACCCTCGCAGTGAAGACGTGGTCGGCGTGCGCTTTCTCGAAACCGCTACGAAAGGAAATTCGGTCCAGGCGGTATTTAATATTCCTTGGGTCAGGTAGAAACGGGGACGTGTCGCGAATAATACGCTATACCATTCCTATCGCCAATCCCTGCCGACAAAGTGTCGTCGCATTACGATCTACTTGTTACACCGCCGCTTCGGTCGCGAAGGAAAAAAATTCTGGTTCAACACATTCGACGCGCGTGTATCCGAGTGCTGTCGTCAAAACTGGCTCGTGAATGATGCATGACGGTGTGAGATTCGGATGAAGTAACGGAGATACAGTCTTAAAACCGTGGTCTTAACTGACCGACGCTCTGATCACCTACATATCTTTTATTATTTTTTTTATTCTTTTTCGGAGAAGAGAACGCTTCGGCCCGGGGATAAAATTACGTGGAAACCGTGGAACAATCAGGAATACATATGTACAATATCTTATAACGACAACAAAACCGTACCCAAATTTTCTCGGCGTCGGTCACTCAATTTCTACATACTAATTTTACAGACTCGACAACAGGGACACTAGTCGATTACTACGGAAGCATAAAAGAAAGGCGCTGAGAGTATGGGAGCTAGGTATCTCCATTTCGAACGAAGAAATTAAAGGAGTAAACGATCGCGAGAGTCAACGTGATATATTATTGTACGGAGCTTTTTCTTAATTATTGGCGTCTCGAGCCAGTCTGAAAATAATCGTACTCGGCGACTCAGTGCGGGAAGATATACAGCTGTTCTCCATTCATTCGTCTCGATCAATTCGCGCGCGTTGATCTCTTTAATGATCGAGCGAGGTATCAAAAACCGTTGCATGTACAAGGTGGGAGATGTGTGATGAGGTGAGGTGTGGTGGTGATCGGTCATCAACGCAACAACCAGAGGGCCATCTGTAATAAATTACACCAAGGCATATTTTATTCTGTTTTTTTTTCCCTTTTAAATACGAGTTTAGTGTCGTGTCACTAGTGTTCGCTAATTATTACGTTAAATGGATGTGATGTTGGCTGCTGGTTGTTATTATAACTGTAATTAATTAGTACTTATTAAAATCAAAAAATGGCGCAGCAAGTAGATACACGGGCAAACACGGGTGTTTCTCACTTTTCCTCGTCTCCGTATTAATTTAGCGGTAATAACGCTCGTACTTGGTGTATCTAAACTGCGATCTGAGGATTTCGTTCCTGCTTCGAAAAGAAAGTGCTTCACTGTTTGCGGTTTACGTACTACTACCGAGTCGCGGCCCTTTGCTTCCGATTAATTTCGACATTAACTTTTTTTTTTCTTTTTCTTTCCTTCGTCTTCATTAGAAAGATGTAGATATATTTCGGTTATTGATAATCAATTATGTATAATTAATAATAATAATATTAATAATCGGTAATAATCATATTAATAATTCCTTGTAATAAATGTAATGCTTGGTACACAGAGATAACAAACGACTCCACTTATTGCCGCGAACAAAAAGGATACTTACAAAACGTGACACATGCACAATACTAGACAAAAACTCGAACAACACAAGAATGACCAGATTAATTTTCTCGTGTTTTTTTCTTTTTTCTTTCTCTTTTTTTTTGCTTTCTGCACCGCCAACCATACAGTGGCGTAGTATGATTTCTTGATTATATCTGCGGGCCCAATATTATATTTTATAAATTATACCGATATTTAATTATCTAAAAAAAAATTCTAAAACGTCTTGCTTGAAACGTCTGTCGTATACCACTCGTTGACCTACACCTATTTTATTCCTTTCCAGACATGATTGTAAAGTCCGTTTTTTTTTTTCCAACCACGCGTGAGGGTTTGAGACAAACTAACAAGATGTTTGCAATTCTGGATGATGATAACTCAATTAGTAAAACTGAAACACCTCCTGTGGTTCAGCGATATAGATAGTAAAACTCTATTCCAAATCATAGATAGTCTGAATAATGCTCTCGAGGCTCTTGCGATTAATTCTTCTCATCCTCGTCGTCTTCCTCCTCTTCCTCTGATGCCTCAGCAAGCCAAGTTAACCAGGAGTTTACCTATAAACGACATAAATATTGCTCGCATTAAATTTCAAATAATTCAATTTCAATTATTCGATTAAGCGTTATTTGTTATTTATCCTTGATTCTCGAATTTGAGAAAAATTGACGTACCAATTATGAATTTTCAAAATATGCTATAGTTGTAACACAGAACTAGCTTGATATAAACCCGGAATTAAAAGATTCATGTAAATAAAATCATTTGTATGCAATTGTAGCAAGAAAAGTCCTTGAATAAAAATGCCATGATGATTGCACATTTACCTGGAACAATGCCTTGCCCTTGCCCGGATAAGCATCAGTAACGGTGTCTCTCCACTTGTGGTATGCTTCCTCTTCGATGACTTCAAGGTTATAGAGTGCTACGAACCATCGTAGCAGCAGCCCTTTTGGAAAATTGTGCGAGAAGCAGAACACTTGAAGCGCATGAAGAGCCGTAACTTGGGAGTCGATGGTAGTCAGGAATGTGCGAATGAAGCGTGCATATTTCTGCAGTAACGCACTTTCCTTCTCTTGCAGCTGTTTGTCTGGATTTACGGTCGGATCAATACTGGGCGCCAATGTTGTCTCCTATTTTATATATTATATAAAAAAAAGACGTTAAAATTTTACAAACTAAAGAAGATTCTAATTTCATTAGTAGTTTTGTCATTTAAAATGTGATACGTATGGGAATAAGGTAAATTCACACTAACCCCGGTGATGTACTTGAAAAGTACATTCATCATAGCATTAATGAAAGCGGGATCAGAATGATGTTGGGGATCCAGCTTCTCCTTGATCCATTTGTAAAGAGCGTTAGGCGCCGGATCAGCTTCTAATTGACGCCACATATCACCCTGGATTCTGAGAAGAGGGTAGAGGAAAGTCAATTCCCGATCTTCCAAGATCTCGCCCAAACGTTCTTTCGTCTTCTCCGCTTCTGGCAGTTGGCTAATAAGATCCACCTTGCTCTCGTTGAAGATCTGTGTGAGTCTCGCCTTGCCCTGGGTCTTGTGGAGTTGCTGTAGGGTCAGTAGGAACAGCGGATGATGACGACCGTTTTCTGTTTCCGAGGCGAGATCCGTCAATTGGATTAAATTGTCCACTATGGCCTTAGCTGTCAGGAAGGCAACGTGGGACGCTACCAAAGGCACGGTGCTCTCCTTCTCCGAAATACTGGCCACTAATTCCTTCCATCCTTCGCTTACTTGCTGCAGGGTGAGCAAGTTCTCTTTTTTCAATTCAGCCACGAGTTTGGCAGCGAGTTCGCGTTCAGAGTCTCCACGATCTAATGTGTTCGCATACACTGTGCAGATCGCGTGACGCAAAAATCGTTCGGGTATCTTAAGATCTTTGAAAGCCGCCAGAGCGTCCTGCACATTTGTGTGGGACGCGAGGTCATCCATTAAGGCATTCACTTTCTTCAACACTTCCTCTCGTGTTGGTCCTTTGTCCTTTCTGTCCCTAGCCTTCTCCCGTTTGTCCACAGGACCTTGTTTGATCACGATAGCAGGTGGTGTTTCTTTGTGCAGTAAAGGCGAGCTGGGCTTCAGAGCAGTAGTACGTAAGAGAGGCATGTCTGAGCCCCGTCCTGGGAACAAATCTGTTAATTTTTTACGATTAGTTATCATTATTAATCAATCTTTTAGAGCAGTACGTTCGCCATTATCGAAGATGATATGTGAACGAATATTTACCATTGTTGAGAGGTAGGTTCAAGTTGATGTTAGTTTGTTTGAACATCATCGAATTAGCCGAGGGTCTTAGAGATACTTCTTCCGGATGTCCTCCGATCAGCATCTTGTTCTTGTTGAATCGAAGTTGTTCTTTATTGCTACCTGTGTGACAGACAAAATAACAAATATCCGTAAGACGTGTTATTTGGCATTAGTTAATAGGGAATATTCACGTCATCGATACTCACTGTTGTTAAAGTTTTGCGGCAAATTATGTTGAGGTTGGTTGCGTTTTCCTTCGTAATTGTTCTGATGACGACTCTGGTTTTGATAGTAGCCCCCTCCTGGCTGATTACGTTGATTATGGCGATAACCAACGCCAGGAGTTCCTGCGAATCCATTCGGACTGAATGGTGGTGGTGGCATACCGAATGAGGAGGGAGTCAATGGTATACTTCCCATCATTTCCACGTCTAATCCGCCTCGTCCCATTTTTCGTAAAAACTCCGCACCGAGGCGATCCTCTCGTCCTCTATGGAAACCGTTTCCCCGCGATGGCTCCTCGTTGTCGTTGCGGATCTGATTAATCGGCATCGGGCCTTCGGTGCTCGTGGCCTTGCGCGGTTTCCAATCATCACGGCGTAACTCAATCACATCACGCAGCATGAATTTGATGCGTAGAGGAAGATCCCTACTCTCTGCCAGAGAGTTCATACGTTTGAAGTATTGATCCATGAGTCCGCGGCCCTTATCCGAGTCAAGGATACGGCCGCAGGTACGCATAATCTGGCAGAGGCATTCGATATCCTCCGCCGCGTCCCCCCGGGATCCCCCTCGCCTTTTCTTCTCCAGCAACTGCTGGATGCAACGATGTAAAATCGGCTCCGACACGATGCCCAGCTTGCCGAGCTCCCCAATGAACTTGATGTTACCAAGCATCTTGCGCTTGGCCACCTGTCGGCGCTCTTCTTCTTCGGGACCGAGCTCATCTTGATTCTCGAATGCCCCGGTTGCTTTTGAACGATTTTCGAACTCGTCTTCGCACTTGTTAAGTAAAAGAACTCTGAATGTGCTCTGGCCTTTTTGACTTTCATCGATCGGTTTACGGGGTTCAAAGTTTGCGGCTTCGTCAGACAGCTGTTTGCACAGCCGTGCGTACATAGAACTGTACTTGGGTTCATCAAGTGCTTTTTCGAAGATCTGAAAAATTAATTGACATTTTATATATGTGACGCGTTACATACGGTCAACAGCGTCCTTGTTAAGCAACATTTGTTTTTTACGTACCAAGAAAATAACACCCTTGAGAATCACATGGGAATTAAGCTCAACGTTGAGCAGGTCGTTGCTCAGCTTTCCGAATTTTTCCGGTGTGAGCTTGTTAAGAATACCCCGCACCTTTCTAAAGATGAGATCATTTCGGCTTTCTGGGGTGAGTGCATCGCGTCTAACAGTTGAAGGAGGGATCCAGCGTAGCTCAGTGGATAGGGAGCGAATATCGTCCCTGGAAGGCATCGAATTTTTCTAATGTCAGTGTCACAAGTAGCAACGCAACGATTTGTGCGGACGTAATAAGTAATCGCTTTCTCGCGTTTGTATTGTTTTTTTTTTATTTTTGCGTTACTGCCAAGGTAACTTTATGGACCCTGACCTTCCTCCCGAGACACGAGAAGCACCCCCCGGTCCTGTGGGGTTGTCCGTTGTTGCGCGTGTTTTGGCCCCCTTAGTGATAAATCACAGCACACAGATCTTCCTTGAGGAAGCTGCAAAAATTACGTCAACACGTTAAACCAAATATTTCATACGTCTGTCTCAAGTATTACTTATTTGTAACTTATCTCAAGTACACAATATTATATTT